GCAGCAGCACACTCTAATTCGGTCTTCCTGCAAGACACTAAGTAATGTATCCAGCACTGGAGTTTCGCTAGGCTAAAACTGATGTATTGCTGTCCTGCAGCTGACAGACAAACGGTATCAGAGAGAGATCAGTAACAAGAGGGAAATCTTTCCACATAGTTTCTCACCATCATTCAGAAGTTTTACTTACAGAGCGAGGGCACTGCAATGAGCACTAATGTGTAGGGGAATGTGCTGCAGAACATTTACCTTGTGTCACTGCCACCTGTCTAAAATACTTGGGCTAGGAACACCTGAACTGCACGTTTAGGTGTATGGCTGAGAGCACAGAGCCCAGAGGGAACTCCAAGGTTGACCTGGGTAAGCCTACCCCACAGCAGACATGGAGGTACCTGAAGTCATCCCAAAAAAATCATTCTACAGTTCTTTGACCTGAAGAGCCTTCAACCATGACAAGAACAGAGGAAACGAGGCTGTGGCATATGGACACATTGTTAGTATCTTATGTCTAGAGATAAAAGCAAGAAAGCAAAACCAGAATAAAACTTGCATCATTCAGCACGGCTTCACAGAATAATCTCATTATTTAATGGACTTAGAGATTCTCACTCTTCCCTAGCTATCAGTTCTATTTACTCCAACTTGTTTGCCTGTGCCGTTCATGCATCATCCTACAATCCGCAGGCGATGGTGGGACCCATACAGGTCCACCTGTACTAATTCTATGTTGGCTCTAGGTTTCAGTCCTGTACGTTTCTGCCTGAACAGCATCCACACAAGCAAAGCGAACAAAACAAGCGAGAACTTGTTGAGTAAAGACATTTAGGGCAAATTATGTCTGTTGCAATACTGAGGTGACAGCCACAGCAAACTAGGCATAACAACGTCCCTTGTAAAACAGGGAGCTCAGCAGCAGGTTGCGAGTCCCAGCTGGCTAATCTCGGAGGAATGCTGCTAATACGCACCGGTGGAGGGCCTTGTTTCTCCTCCCAGCCAAGTCTGAGTTCCTTTATTTTTTTTTCCCTTGCAAATATAAAAAGAGTTTAGAATCCAGTGGAGCAATAGGTGAGAACAAATCATTTTAAGTGATGAAGATGACACTCATTCTGAGCCTTCTAGCTACTTTTAAGATTTCTTCTGCTTCTTTTCTTTTATTCCTTTTTTTTCTTCCTTTCTACTTAGTCACTTGCTTCTTCAAAGTTCACAATATGGTTCAGCCCTGAGTGCTCTGCTAGGATGCCAAGTTTCAAAGTTCCCAAAGTACCTATCTATGCACACCAAGCATTATAAATAACATTTCCACATTCAAGCCAACTGGATCCTGAGCTAACCTGGTTTATAGCCATCTGGAATTCTTCAGAAAAAGTGACTTGTAAGCACTGTAAACAGTTTTGTCTTCCTAGAGGACACCAAGAGTTTCCAACTTCATTGCCATCTTCATTTTGCGATCTGGGTTCAAGAGCAAGGTATAAATTTAAAGAAGATGATAATGCAAATAGTATTAATAAAAGAAACCTCAGAGTGATCTGCTTTTCCCTAATAAGGCAGGCTCTATCAGTGTCTCAAAAGCAGCAAAGTGCCAATACAATTAATCAGTCTGTTTTAAGTTCCCCCTAGACAGCAATAGTAACAGTTTGTTTCAGTCTGTTTATATGGGGCTGACAGGTCTTCAAGATGCTGTGTTCACTTTCTTGTAATTAATAGTCATTCACATACTAAGGTGAAGACCAAGCAGAAAAAGAATGTTTTTCGAGCAGGACAGATAACTGGAGTCTCTCCCCCAGCCTTTCACTTCTAAGTAGGAAACAGTACTAAATTTAGGAATGCTGTCTCACCATATTGTTTGAACTCCTCCTTTTCTTGCAACCTGCCCATAAGATGAGCCAAAGGGAAATTTAAATCACCTATTTTCTTCGTTTACTTTTCAGTTGTGCTCCATAAAGCCACCACATTGATAGTGACTCTCTGCACAATGCGATACTACACGCAGAAAGCAAAGTCACTGGGCCAAGTTTTGAGCAAGGAGCAACTCCTTCTGAGAAAAAAACTTTTCTTCCTTTCCATTTCTGCAGAGCAGTTAGAGGAGATGTGAGGGACCAACTCAGCACCAAACCCACCCCAACAGAGACTTCACAGAACAAGAAAGAGCTGGACTCCGACCTGTGTTTTGTACATTCCTTCAGTGCTTTTAACAAGTCCTACCAAACTGGAGATGCTTGGGCTGGGGTCCTCCTCTCCACCACAGACAGCTTTAACCGGAGGCAGTGTGAAGGAACCTTTAGATACAGAAAGGGAGCTTTTGGAGTCTAACTCCCAGTTTCCCTTTCTGCCATTTTGGGTGCTTCATTTGGTACAGGGAGTTTTTTCTCTCTCACTCCCTCCCCAAGAAACTATCATGCATGCATTTCTGTGCTATTTTTTGTCCATTCTCTTTTCCCTGCATTTCCTCAGCACTTGCCATTTCTTTTTGCAGGTAGATTTTTGGACTTCCTCTTTGTCCCGGTTTCTTCATTAACTCTTAATTTCCCCCTATGAATCTCCTCCTGGCTTTCCCTCATCCTTTTGTCTCTAGCCCATTGATTTCTCTGCTTAGGCCTCCTTTGATTTCTCTTCTTTCCCTCTCTTACCCAAGTCCATTCAGTCTCGTGCCTCCTCCTGTCTATTTTAATCAGGGCATTCTTTTCTTCATCATTAATCAGAAAGCATAATTTCTTTTCTGCCACTTTTTCTGAAGTACAGCATGCACAAATCCTATTCTCCTTTTGGTTTTATTGCAGTTGAAGAGGATGGCATAGGAAAAATATTACAGCTGAATAGCAGAACAGCTCTGCAAGATAATACCATCCTCTAGAATAAAAGAAAAATCCACCTAATTTTTAAAATGCCGTAAGCTGCCCTATCAAATACCATGGACTGAGCAGTAAGACACAAACACGTATTAACACAGAGTGGGTCTGATACAAGGAGTCCTTAGTGCTCTCCAGAGACCTGTGGCTATATCCCTCTCTTTGCTGTTCTAGGTAGTTCATCAAAGCAGTGACATAGGTTATGTACTGAACAGCAGGCTGCCTCACTCCTTACCTGAGATAAAGACACTAGTGCAGCCTCCACTCCCTCCCAGGGAATTCAGGTTCCCCATCCCTAAAACACCATGCTCAGAACAGTCACTGATGTCATCTGCTTCCTTGCCCTTTGGCAGCTCATAACTCCAAAGCAGCAGCTTTCCAATTTGTGGTGCTGCCTTTCTTACAAACTTGGGGTATACAAATCCTTACAGATGCCTTTACCAGGAGGTCAGCGGCATGTGCCTGGAGCCACTCACCTCACAGCACGGCATGGGCAGAGACATCTTCCCATCTCTTTTGGAGATCCGCAACAAAAGTAACGGCTTTTTTAAGGTCACAACTGTGGCTTCATGGTTTTAAGACTGTTCATTTTTACCTTGTTAGAAAAATGCGGCAGCAGCTGAATGGACTACGAAACAGCACTTCTAAAATGAAGTTCCCTTTTCATAGAACTACTGTCTTATTAAGAAAACACTCAGCACAGCCACATCATGGATGGAAAAGATACTGGATGGGCAAGAGCACAAATGCTCTGGTGTCACATAAATTATATGCTGGGTCATGTGCCAGGAAACTACATCTGGCCTCTGTCTTTGTGTGAGTTCATATCACAGAAGAGGGTGGAAGCGCTGGGCGGGTGTTTGACTCTGGCCTCTCTCATGCTTTGCCTTACTGTGAGGTGTTCCAAGGGTCCCAACAGTGACTGTCACAATGAGATGCCACGGCAAGGAGCATGAGGTATCACATCTGACTGAGAATACTCCCAGCCAGGAAGCATGAGGAGGAGTAAAAGATGCTCACCACCATGTGTTAACCCTGGGCTAACATCTGTCAAGAACAACTTCAGATATTCAGACCCTATAAAACCATCTTCTTTGGCAGAAGATAACCCATCTGCACAGGGAAGTCAGATACAAGCACAACAGGTTTATAAATGGGTAACACCTTCAGAGAAAAGCAACATGACAAGGAAGCTACATCCTCGTGCTGTTTGCTGTCTGTAGTTCTTACCTTCTACGCAGATCTTCAGCCACTGCTGCTCTGCAGCTGAACAAATAGGCTCGGAGAGACTTTAGCTGCTGTCTCAGGCGGACAACAGTTGCCAGAGATTCAACGTGCTTGTACAACATAGGATTTTCCTGCTGGATATCAATCAATGGCTCCTCATAAACATATTCCAGGAACTCTTTGGCTTGCTTCGATACCTGAAAAATAAAGCAACCAGTTTAGCTGGGCTTGTCTCCCAACTTTTTAAAGCAGATCTTCCCCTCTGTGATCTGCCAACTATTCTCTGCATCTGAAAACTTACTGTTACCAACTACAGATGAAGACATGAGCTGAGAGAGATACAACTGTCTCTGCTTTAGCCAAGTCAAACTTCATCAAGCCCATCAAAGTTGAGCATATGAGATAATTGCTTACTTACCCAAAGCACAGCAATATTTGCAGCCACACATTTTCACTGCAGGGTAACGTAGATTACTAGATGTTTTTCAAGTCTAAAAACTGATTACCAAGTTTCTTCCCTGTTAATATTTTTCTGTTTGTTCACTGTTTTCTTTTTCTCAAGGAGCAAGTGATTAGGTAAGCACCAAAGCACAACATCAGAAAAGGAACATACACTGCAAATTCAATCACAATGTACTATCCCAGGGTATAGAACTCCAGTGCAAAGTTCTGCTCCCATGTGTTTCATGCTTAGCCAGTACCGTTAGAGTTATGTGAAAAGACAATAATCAGAAGCACATCTATCAAGTTGTTTTTTTTTAAATAGAGATAAATAAAGTTGAATTTTACTGGTATTACTCCCAGTGTTTCATCTGCAAGAAATTTTTATTGTGCCTTTTTCATGACAGCACTCTGTTCTATCTTTATCAAGATTACAGTGGCTCTTTGCAGGTGGAGATAGAATGGGGACTTTTGTTCCCACTAGAAAAGATACTTCTGTTTCTGAGGTGAGAAGGCCAAATTTCCCCTCATGCCATATTTCTGCATTTTATCGCAGCTGGAAAAGAGAAGATGGGATTATTTGAAATGAGCTGCAAATCACCTGAAACTGTGCTACAGAAATACTATTCATTCCACAACTCAATTAGTCCTGGACCTTTAAATCAGTGTTTACACTGCATCAAGGGAGGGATGAATTAGTCTAACAAAAGGAGAAAGAGCACAATATAGCTTCTTGAGATTAAGGATGTTATTTCCTTTCTGGTGCTGTAAGGTAAGAAGTAGGTAAAAGCAATATACATCCTTGCAAATAGCACTGCTTCCAAAACCAGCACAAGTTACTAGCTACAGGAGTCACTTGCCACTTACAGGGAAAGCTAATCCCAAATGTAACCTTTTCACAATGCATAATAAAAATATAAGAAATAATGCCAAGGCCAACCTTCCCACCAATAACTACACAGATAATACCACGTGTAATTTTAAATCATAACATCTTTTAGGTTAGAAAAGACCTTTAAGATCATCAAGTCCAACTGCTAACCCAGCACTGTTAATATCACAAATAAACCACATCCCTAAGCACCTTATCCACATGTCTCTTAAATCCCTCCAGGGATGGTGACTCAACCACTTCCCTGGGCAGCCCATTCCAATGCCTGACAACTCTTTCAGAGAAGAAATTTTTCCTAATAACCAATGTAAACGTTCCCTGGTGCAACTTGTCCTATCACTCATTCCTCGGGAGAAAAGAAACCAACACCCTGAAGCTGTATTAAATATCTCACCTATTTGTATTAAATGTCCCACTAATTTTTTGTACATGTGTGTGTTTTGTTTTGTTTTTTAAAATAATGCATGTACAAGGAATCGTGCTGTCTGAATGGAAGCACAGGTAACATGCCCTGTAAGGAGCAGTACAGGCAACTTACATTTTGTAGAACATAACTGTCCAAACCTCAAATATGTCAAGTTTTCTAACAGCAGCAATGTTGATGTTTTATTAGACATGCTAACTGTAGGGCACAAAAGAGATGGCACTTAAACAACCTGCTTTTACAATCATTAAGCTCTTTGGCTGTAATATCTCGGCAATCCCCTGACAACTGCTGTACCTGTAGTAAATATTATTCCTCTTCCACCAATGGACTAATTAAGCAACATATTCAGTGATTCCCTAGGAGGCAGATGAATGCTTGGTACAGCAACCAGCACCTCCCACCAAGACGACCTGATGGCCAGTGTCCTTTGTAGTCTCACCTCCTTGCTTTACACCCCTGCCCAAGTGATGGGCTCCTCACCCACTCACCCTGCTCTCTCAGGACCCAGAGGGCAATCACTGCCCAAGCACTGCACCCACACCTGCACCCACTTGTACCCTGTACTGGGCAACTCTCCTGAGGCTGCACCGCTGAAGAGTACAGAAACAAAAAAGCAACAGAACTGAGGTCACCTGAGCGCATGTGCACGACGGTGACAAAGGATTACTGCGTGGCTCTGGTGCTGCATGGTCTGAACATAGCCTTTGAGGACAGAGAACCTTTCTCTCTCCTTGCCAAGACAACGTACCTGCAGAGTGCCGAGAGCAGGAAAAGTAGCTTTGTCCAGCATCACTGGCTGAGAGGTAGATGTCAGCTCACTCTGCATGCCTGACGCAGGCACGCGGGTCATTTAAAACATTAACTCACATTGCAAACCATAGCAAAGTTACAAGAAGCTGAAATGCAGTCTTACAATGGGAAGGGTCAGGCAGTCATAATTCAGTTTGCTCCCAGCCAACAGGACATGTACTAGCATACTTACAGTCCCCCAGTTTTACTGGGCAGACTAGGCAATCCTATTAAATAAGCCAGAAGAAATGAGAAGATGGGAAGCGCAACAGGGTTTTGACTTTAAATGTCATACATGGATGGATACTAACATTTCCAGTCCTTCCATTTCTACAGGCTGCAAACTTACAGTTCAGAATTCAATTTAGCAGAAGTCAGCCTCCCCTGAAGCCTTCTGGCACAGGGAATCCACTTCCTGCTGTGCTTGTCTGGCATTTTGCGCCGGCTGGAAGCCACCTGACCCCAACTGCAATACTTACTGGTTTTTGCATGCAAACGGGGAAAACAGTTGGCCTAAGTAAAAGGAAGAAAGTACGTTCACAAGATTGACTCTTTTCTCTTCCCTTCACACAATCATGTGAAAAACACACATATGAAAACAGTAGGGAGACAGGGAAAGAAAAGTGAACCTGGGGACTGAACTGCTGCTTTGGTTACGACAGAAGAAACATGCCTAACTGCCACGTCCTTAAAAACAGCTTTCATTGCAGTCAAGGGGAGTTTTATTTTCCTACCCGTGTGTTTCCAGGTGTTAAGAGCATTGTTGTGGTTCAAGATCCTGGGTGTAGGAAGACACAACTCTACAGATTTCTACCGCTTCTGTTTTTCCAAAAGCAGACAAGAATGTCTCCATTTGCAAAACTTACTTCACGGATGCAACAGTTTACAGCTGCTGCTCAGATGCCTAGGAGTCCATGAGACATAAAAGAGAAAGATGGCCAATTACACTGTATCATCATAAAAGCTCATGTCCTAAAGTACCTCTTGCCAGAGACAGATAGGACAGACCCCAGGAACCCCTGCAGAGGTGGGGAAAAGGTGGCAGTGGGAAGGAGTGCAGGTTTTCAAATTTTTCCTTCCAGTTGGTGGACTGACACACACGTTTCAGCCCATGTGAAATACAGAAGGTTTTGAAGACTTGTACCGGGTTTGCGTAGTGATGTTTTGGTAGTGTGGGGGGGCTACTGGGGGTTTCTGTGAGAAGCTGCTGGAAGCTTCCCCTACATCCAATAGAGCCAATGCCAGCCAGCTCCAATGACCTGATGCTGGTCAAGTCCAAGCCCATCAGCAATGGTGGTAGCACCTCTGGGGTAATGTGTTTGAGAAGTGGAAAAAACCCCCAACAACTGGGAAGAGAGAAACTGTAGCTAGAGACAGATCCAGAGAGATGTGAGAGGAACTACTCTGCAGACACCCAGGTCAGTGGAGAAGGAGGGGGAGAAGGTGCTCCAGGAGCTGGAACAGGCTGCTCCTGAGGGGCTGCACCCTGTGTAAAGGACCCACACTGGAGCAGTTCATGAAGAAATGCAGCCCGTGGGAAGGACTCACACTGGAGAAGCTCATGGGTCCCTCTCTCCCATGGGAGGGACCCCACAATGAAGCAGGTCAGAGTGTGAGGATCCTCCCCTGAGGAGGAAAGAGGGGCAGAGAATGTGCAATGAACCGACTGTAACCCCCATTCCCTGTTCTGTGTGCTTGGAGGGAGGAGGTACAGAAATCAGGAGCGAAGCTGAGCCCTGGAAAAAAAGAGGGATAGAGGAAGGTGTTTTAAAATTTGGTTTAATTCTCTTTTACTCTGATTTGATTCGTGATTGAACTGATTTTCCCCAAGTTGAATCTGTTTTGCTCATGACAAATTGGTGAGTGATCTCTCCCTGTCCTTATCTGGACCCATGAGCTTTCCATTACATTTTCTCTCCCCTGCCCAACTGAGGAAGGCAATGACAGAGCAGCTTTGGTGGGCACCTGGCCTCCAGCCAGGGTCAGCCCTCCACAAGACTGACGCCTTGATTCAGTTCTGACCTTCAAATGAGGGTTATGCTCATTTCCTGCAGGACCCCTCTGGGGTATGCACCGAGTCCAGCCCGGACCAAGTCACCCACCGCAGCAGCTCCACTTCCGGTCACTGCTGTGCTACCTGTAAGGGGCTAGGCTCTACATTTCGGAGAAGCTCTGTTGTTTAGCTTCATTTTGGTATGCTGCTGCACAGCTTTGTGTGAGCACACTGGCAAATTATGGAAGGTGAAATGCTGACAAATTAAATAATCTTCCTTTAAAAATGAGCCCAGAGAAAATAATGACTACCAAGATCACCTAAAGGAAGTGGGACAAGATATTTGCCTTTGCCAAATCAGCAGATTTAATCAATACTCTACTAAGGAATCGTGCAGTTTCATTCTAACTATGAAGTGTAGCATCCAGCACTAAGTTGCCACAGGCGATGGTGTTCCTTTCTTAAATCCACCTCTCTGAGCACTTTGGCACAGAGACTGTAAAGTATCTGCACAGAATCTGCTTGTGCTCCCAAGCCACTCCACAGCTGTTCTGCCTTTCTGCAAAAAGTGCAGATTGATAACTTCTCACTATTATAGTGAGATTACAGTAAATTAAGTTTGCAATGAAGGCTTAAGCTTAAAAGTCCCACTTCCTTTTGTGCCCCAGCTGCCTACACCAAGACCACAGGAAACAGTGCATAGAGCATAGTTTTTATCCTGCAGGTTTAGAAAATAAAACAGTTCATTTTCTTGGCAGTATTTCTGACAGCTTGATATGAGGTCTTTGCCTTACCATCCAAGTGCGCCCATATCGGGGCTACCTACACTACTGTGGGCTAGAAAGTTTAATCCTTGGTAAAAGCATCCAAAGAAAGAACTCTTAAATACTTATTCCTAGCTTCTAAGAAGGGGACGGGGTTTTGTCTCCACCTGTAGAAGCTTTGTGACTCTGAAGAATGTTGCATCTCATGGCACAAGACTATCATTTTCCTGATGGAAGACTGGCTACCTTTTAATAACCTCCCCATCTGACAAATTTTCTTCTTCAAGAGAGCTGCTTTTCCTCTAATTGGGCATTTACTGGTTATTTTTTTCCTTTTCAAATAGCCCATAATAATAATATTTGCAGACACAGAACATCAAACAGCTTCTCCTAACAGTGGCTGATAGGTCTGAAGCTCTAGCATGGTCTGGATTCCTTAGGAGTTTGTTATAATTTCAGCACATGCTCCCCAAGATGGCAAAACAACACTGCTACTTTGTTTGCCCACAGAATGCTTTGAGGCGTGTAATTGGTCGCCCCTATCTAGCCACCAGCCACCAAGGCAGCAGCAAACAGCAGATTACTGAAGTCCTAGAAAAACTGCTTGTGTAGCAAGTGAAAAACTGTAGAATTTTCTCTTTGTTACTTTCAGCTGTCTGGTTAAAACAAGTATTAGAGCAATTTCCTTCTAGTGTCCTCAAAATGCTTGTGCCAAGAGATGGGACACGCCGGGCCCTGCAAATACCACATTTGGGTATGCCAGTTTACTGTGGGCATTTCCACAATTTCAGCATCCATCACCAAGCAGTGCCAATACATAGTTTCTAGTGTTCATGAAAGAGGTACTCCTCAAGGGCCCAATGACTGCAAAGGTTAGGGCTAAAAGAAAGGTTTTGGTGTTCTGTCCCTTCCCATCTCCTGAACAACCAGATAAGCAATGATGGAAAAGATGCCACCACCACGAAAAAGGAGCATGGCTGCTCTTGTGGCAGAAGGCCTTAGGTCAGGCTAAAGAAACTATGATGAAATCGTGTCTTGCTGAGAGAGCCTAGCTCATTCTGGCAAGAGGGACAAAGACGACAGTATTAGCAGCCAATGCCTGTTACCTTCAACCTGTTGCAATGTCTGTGTTTCTACCTAAAGAGCAATTCGGTTCACTTGCTGGCAAGCCAACCTGCAGGGAGATTACCTTGTATTTGGAAGTGTCCCAGTTATGAACCAGCCGTGCAGGGATGAGGAAGCAGTCATCCACGTGGCAGGTGCTGCAGTAATACCATCCGCTGTAGCTGCACACCTTGGCTTTCCCACTGGACAAGCCTATGGAGCGCTGACAGCCTGGAAAAGAGACAGGGGAAAAGTCTGGGTTTGTACACCATGCCAGAAATACACACTCAGGATGCAGTAAGAAAAGTAGTTATTCTCCCACCTGAGACTCTTTTAAAAATGTATTTATTTATTTTACAAGTGAGCCATTTCTCATTCCCTAAAAAGAGGAATAAATATCAGTATCCTTGGATTAGCGATGAACAAGCATACACTAACTTGGGCATCTATGACAGAGGTTCAGAGCACAGCCAAAGGATACTTAGCACTTCTTGAGAAACACTGGCAGAAGACCAGCTTTGAGACACTGGGCGTTTAAGCGCCATGGCCAGCTGAAAACCATGACCTGAAGACTAGGCAGAAAACACCAGACCACAGAAGTAGTGTGTGCTCGCTCCAGACAGCTATTTTCCCCACAATAGAATGGGCCAGCACTGGCTGCCTGGAGAACTGCAAGCCAGCTCCTGCTGACAGCCAGATGGGATGCTGACTTGGCAGGTAGGATATGGCCACAGGATTAGCGCAGCCAAGGCAAACCACAGTCAGACCATGAATAATAACTGTGAGCAGCAGTCACGTTGAGAACGAGTAGTCCATGACTAGCAGTAGTGACACAGCTCAGTTTCCTGCAGGGTTTTTTTTATTCCTTACGATTGGATTACCCAGTGTCTTACAAGGTCTGAGGTCTGCCTGCTACTTTTTTCCCAGCTGGATCCTTTGCCTCTTCCCATGCCCTCTTGTGCAGAGTCCTCGGGGTAAAACAATGTAGTCAAAAGCTGCTGCTTTAGTTGGAAGCAACTAATGCAGAACTCTCCTTCACCTGCCCACCTGTTTTCACAAAGCACATAGAAATGCAATGGATTTGACACCTCTGCCTTTCCCTCAACTGTGGCTAAAACCAGCCAACAGGTTCATGTTAGAGTGGAGGGCTGAAGACAGCACAGTCACATTAAACAACCTGCTCAGGAAGCGAGGCTAAAAACATTTGGATAAAATATAATGAGTCGTCTGTGGTTGTTATTAACACCTCTTTTGACACTGCACACATGACGGTATTTCTGCTTTTCCTTCAGATGTTAGTGTCCCCATACGACATTTACAGCTGCAGACACAATTAGCACCAAAGCCCCGCTCTGGCATGTGCCGTATGCTCAGACCATCTCTGCTGGAGCTGGTCAGTAATGCCGATTAGCAGGATCCTCCTACATCACTTTTACTGCAAAAGTATTGGTTGAACAGTTTTTCAGGCAGAAGTCAACTGATTGACTGCTTTTCTCAGTATAACTGATTTTGTTTGGTGTAATTATGTAACTTCTCCCACTGACAGCACCTTTTTACCCCAGCATGTTATCCTGATTTGAGGAGAGATTGCAGCTCAACTACTCCAGACATAAATCAGCCTCCTCCCTTTCCCCATTAGCTGATGCTACGACATGCCCTCCACTCTAATCAAATAATCAGAATAACCTGACCAACACAATTAGTTCACTCCCTCCTCTTCCACACTCCAGAGCCATTTGGCCATTGATTCTCTGCAACACATGTTCTCAAGTGAATCAGTGTGGGACATGTCCTGTCTCCACCTTTCTCCCCCTTCCCTTCTTTTTTTTTTTGAAGTGAGGCTATGCAGTTTCTTGAAAAAGGCAAATATATAAACAGGTCAGTTGATGAAAGAGATACTTATATTGGTGTCTTCTGCTTTACAATTCCTAAGATCAGAGCGTAAGTATAAACATGTATCTCAAGTGGTGTAACTCAACATACATAATGCAAAAATGTGATCTCAGCTAATAATCCAACAGAAACTCCAAACATTTTAACTGTAGCTATTATCACTGTAGATTTCTGTATGGTAAATATTACCAGACCTTTTGCAAAGCAGTATTTTTAGGGCAGAAAGAATGCAGGTATGCCTTTTACAGGGGTAAAGTCAATTCAAGAAATTCAGCAAAAAAAAAAAAAAAAGACCGATGACAGTAGTTTGGGATCAGAACTTAGGAGCCAACAACTTCATATTTCCCTCAGTGCAAAGGATGCATTTTCCCAACTTTCCTTTCCTCTTCTTTTCCCTTTTTAAAAAAGCAGCTCCCTGACTAGTCAGTTAAGAGTTTCCATGCAGTCCTGTTCCACTGAGTTGTTACGGATGGAGTCAGCAGGCACACCTGGCAGTAAGCTCAGTATCAGTGCTCTGTAGCACACACAGAACTATCCTTTCAATTTTTAAAATGTATTCATACATAAAGCCAAGACATGAAATACATGAAGCCAAGACATTTCAGTCCCGTCCGTCTGAAATGGCATTTGTCTCACTAGGAGCCCTGGAAGATGCTTGCAGAAGAGACTTGCACTGTTGCTATGGAGCCCTTGTTTTTAAAAGCATAGCAGAGGTAAATCTTGCCTCCCTGTAAAGGAAATAGAGAAGTATGCCCACTCCCCTTCTCGTGGAGCAAGATGAAGGAATCTACGAAAGAGAACATTCCCCTTTCCCAAGCTAAATGGGAGATGTTCGTGTTAGCAGTACCTCAGTACAGCATGCTCTGTGCCAGCCTTGCTAAGTGACTGAAGGGTCTGAATCTTTCTCCTCACTAGTTGCTGCTGAATTTCCTATCACTGACCAGCACTGAAGTGTCCGTGTTTATGCCTCACCTGGCTACAACTTTAGCATTCATGAATAATGAATCACCTCACACTGGATGAAACACAGACTGCTAACTGGCATGTAGTATGTTCCAGCTCCATGTCTTCGGATCACCCGATGCAGTGCTAGTGGTAAAGCTCTGTCTGAGTAAGACTGAAGTCTCCTAGTTCAATGCCATTCCCCAGTAGCCAACACTGACTTGTCCGGGGGATAAGGGTGGGGATGGGACAGGACACACTGATTTCACCTCACTGCCACTCCACAGGCTGTGAGTTTGCCTTAGTGCCCTAACTCCTACATGTTAGACTGAAGGCAAGAATAAGTTAAACTCCAATTTAAATTGCCATCATGCTAAACTGAAACTTTTGCAGTTGAGAAGTCAACATTTTAAGGCCTAACTTCTTGCAACCTCCTAAGCCAGAAACTCATTTGTGGTTCACGGAGAGAGGTTCCCCAGGAGAGGAATGACAAAGTATGGAAGTGCTGGGGGGGGTTCCCTCCTCCTGCCTATGTCCAGCCCATAAGAACTGAAGGTCTCCAGGGTGAGGAGGGTCTCAGCAAGCAATCTTGGATGCCCTTCGGGAATGGTGGTTTTATAAAGAGGAGAAAGTGGAAGTTCCTACCCAAGCAGCACACACTGCTTTCTCCCTTACTCCTGCCTTTCTCTGAGCCCAAGTTTGTTTCCTTGTTCCTCAGAAACAAGTTTTTTACACAGGGTATTTCTCATTCCTCTGCATATCCTCAAATAAATCATATTCTGCAAAGCTACATAACAGTCGTAAGGTTGGGGTATTTTAGATGAGAATGTGGCACTGGCACCTACCTTACAAGCCTTGCTGTTTGAAAATCACCATCTTTCCCATTCCTATCTGTTGTGATTCATAATGATGGCTATTTCTACAATCCTTTCAAATCAAGTTATCAAAGCACTGATTTTCTTTGATGTTATGCAGTTCAAAGTGATGTAGTGTGACAAACATATTTCTGTGGTACAGACCACTTATGCTACTTTGTTTTTTTAAGATGGGAAAAATAGAGCAGGACTGAGAGAGAAACAGGAGGAAAGAATAGTTTGTGGCTTAATGCCCTTGGAAATCCCTCACCTGGACATTCAGGTACACAAACTTGCCATGGTGTTTACCAGAAGTACTGACTTCTGAGCACCCCACCCAGCAAGACAGTCAGATGTAGCTGACCACCTCAGAGGTCGATAATACAACTCAACAGATAGTCTGGGGTGGGGGAAGGGACCATTTCGTGTTTGCAGAGAAAACACTTACTTGCCTATAGCTAGAGAACAGGATGGGACTGGGGGCTAGGGGGGAGCAGCACAACTTTTGCCAAGCTTCTCTCACCTGATGCTCACACAGAACATTATCCATACAACATCTCTACAAAGGTCTGGCAAACCCTGAGCCTAGAGCAAGGAGAATACTGTGATATTTACTATTACCCCAAATCACCCCTACCTAAAGGATGTTACAGAGCAAGCTACAGAGGGAAGTAATGTAGCTGTAGGTATACTGTTAGCAAAGTGAGGGAAGGAGTAATCCCAAACCTTTCATCACAGAAAATATAACAAAACAGCCTTGGAAGCAAGCAAAGAAAATAAGAGGTTAGAAAAAACAGCAGCAAGAAAGTGCTGCTGGGCACAGATGAACCTCTCTTGACAACATGTCTGGGAGCAGAGCAGGAGTATCAACACCAAGAGGCTCATCTCCAAGAGCTAAGACTTTGGGAAGAAAGAAGTACAGGAAGATGGGGTTAAAAAGTTGCAACAAGTCTCTCTCCTTGAATTAAGGTTGTGGTGAGGATAGTAAGGGGAAGGAATCCAAGGCACTTGAATACCATTCCTCTTCTGCAAAGTGTGGAAAACACCATTTCTGTCACTTTCAGGGTCTTGCATAATTTTACAGTCAAGGAAGATACACACAACTATTCTTTTTATCCAGATACCTTTTTCCTTAATCTTTTAGTAAGAAAAGATTGGAGTAGCTCCACAGTGAAACAGAAAAAGAGCAAGACCAAAATAGAATTAAGTACACAACTGTTTTCCTTATTTAATAAAGTTCCTTGCTCAGTATCAGGAAAAAGCAACTCCCCTGTGACTGTGTACCATAATTAAATCTGTGACAGATTAGCTTAGAAGCTAATTCATTTAGGAACAACATACAATATGAAGACCCACAGACTTCAAAAGGCTTTCAGCTCAATAAAGCCATAAAGCAGACTTAGGAGGCAGAAGGAGCACAGCAACAAATTTTCAGTGTGTGAGATCAGACACACAATATTGCTCTAGCTGCTCAGCACAAACAGAAAGAGAAGGTGAGAATTACTTCAGTTGCTGGCCTTGTGCATCTATTCCAATTCACTC